GGGGCGGGGCAGGTGGAGGAGGGGGAGGGGAAGAAAGGCAGGACCCGGGAGGCGGTGGGCGGGGCCAGGCCACTCACCTCCTCCCCGGGCAGGACCTGGGGGCGCAGCAAGGAGCGCACCATGCTCGGGGCGCAGCGGCCAGGTCCTGGTCTTGCGCATCCGCACACCGTCCGTCTGGCTGGTACGTGGGGACACCTGCCCAGGACGTCCACCTGGGCGAGCGGGGCCCCGTCAGCCCCCTGCTCTTCCCCGCCACCCCCCCTCCCCCAAGCCAGACTCCAGGCCTCACTTCCTCGAGGTCTGGGGGCCGGCGGCACCGGGGAGCCCCTGCAGCAGGCTCAGCACTGCGCGAGGCTCCGAGCGGCGGGGACACAGGCGCCCCACGCACCCCTCGAGCAGGACAAAGCGAGCGGGTTGTGACCCAGGGCAGCGCTGGGGCGGGGGTGGGGGGCTGTGAGTCACCAGGAGGCCCTCCAAGGTGCCAGGCCCCCTCCTCACTGTTGACGCCCAAGTGCCCCTGCCCCTCCTCCTATAGGTCAGCCCCCACGGGAAGCCCCCAGAGCACCCCACCTCTCCCCAAATAACGTTGCTTCCCTCTCCCGCGGGGTTCTCCAGCAACTTCTGAGTGGGCCACAGGGGCACCCACCCTTGGCTCAAAGCCGCCCGCAGGCTTCTTAGCACTTGGACAAAGAAAGGTTCTTAGCACTTGGACAAACAAAGAAAGGTACGTGCGCGCGCCCAGCGGCGACAAGTAACAAAAACCTGAACTTCCAAGAGCTTCCTGAATTCCAGGGATTCCCATTTTCCCAGCCCACCGCGAGGTACCTAGCATCGCCCTCCCCGCCCCCCCTCCGTGCCTCTGTGTGCGTGTGTGTCTGCGTGCGCACGTGTACACACACACGCATTACAGACGAGGAAACTGAGGCTCGGAACCAGAAAGTAACTTGTTTAGGGCAGCAGCTGGGATTCTCACCAAGGCAGGCTGGCCCCAGGGTCATGGGTCTCGGACACTTGAGACTCAGTCACCCTACAGATGAGGAAAAGGGGCCCAGAGAGGGGGGTGGACTGGAGGGAAGCACACAGCAAGCCAGGAAGGAGCTGGGAGAATTTAGCCCAATGCTCCTCCCACCACGCCTCACCTCTCCTCCGCCAGGCCACTCCTGTACCTGCCATGTGAGGGGGTGGAGGGGGGGAGGTGAGGGTGGGTGAAGTCCCCACAAGCGTGTGTGGGCACAGAGGAGAGAGGCGCCTCGAGTCCATCAGCCAGACAGCAGGGCAGAACCCCCGAGAGACAGAAGTGTCCTTACTTGTACCTCCCAGGAGGTCACTTGCCCCTCCCTCTCCAGCCTCACCTGGAGTCAGGGGGCCTTCGGAGGTAGCTGCCGGGTCTCGGGCCTTGTGCTAGAGAAATGCAAATGGGACCCCACCCCTTCCAGAATAGCAGATGTCAGTCTGGCCTCAAGGAGCTGACAGCCCCCAACCCTATGACTTAGCATTTCTGATGAGGAGCCAGGGACAATAGCTCTCAGTGCCCTCCCCCCCACCCCACTCCCCTCACCCCCGCGCAGGAGACCACCCGAAGGCTTTCAGCGAGGACCCATCTACCCCTGGGCAAGCACCCCCCATCCCTGGACCCCAGCACAAAGGCTTTATTTTCTAACAAATGAATTTGCAATAAAAAAGGAAGAGGAATCTGCCGGGATGGGCTTGTCTTCAGTGTGGACTGAGCTTGGGGGCCACTGAGACCCCTGTCCGGGAGTCCTGGGAAACCAGCCGGAGGGAGAATTCCAGGCCTGGCCGGGTCACAGAAGGGAGGCTTAGCCCTGGAAGGGAGAGGCCACGGGTCTCCAAGAAAACCCCCATCTCAGCAGAGACAGGGAGGGGAGAGGGGTGGCCTTTAATGGGTACCCAGTGTCTTCCAGAATGTTCTCATGGACGGTGCCCAGCGGGTGCTTGACAAACATAAAATCTGGACATGCGGAGGGCGACAGGCAGGGAATTCGGAGACGAGTTCCTTCCATGGGTGAGGGAAGGCCCTCTGAGGCTCCTTAGACTCACTCAAGTCTCCTGGTCTTCAGCAACAGTCTGTCCTGGACACTTACCAAGGTCAGAACCTGGGGTGGGGGAGGTCACCCTCACTGTTCTTCCCACCTAACTCAGTGCACCCGGCACCTGGTAGCTAACAGGAGGGGGTCAGAGCCTCACGTGCAGTCCCATCAGGAGGAGTAAGGCCAGCGTCTTACCTCAAAGTCTCGGACTCCTCCAGAACTGTCACCTTGGACCCCAAGATGGATGTCACCTGGAAGCCTTGAAGCTAGATCAGAAAGCACCATGAGTCGGTGACCTCCACTGGGACACCCCAGGGCCTCACTAGCACCCCCCACCCCCACCCCACAGCCCCGTGTTGGGAGCTAAACGCAGAGAGCCTTCCCTTGAGAGAAGGTTCTAGTTCCTGGGCAGTGGACACCAAATATCCCCAAGGGATAAAGAGTTGAAACAGCCAGTATCTACCACTCCCTGACCAATGTCCACAAAGTTCTCACTCATTTTACCCAAAATATCCTATAAGTTGGGGGAAGAGATTCAGATCTATTCTGTACAGTTTCAGCGAAATGGGTTAGAATGGCAGAGCACACAAACACTTGGCTCGCCATGAACTTAAAAACGTGGAGATCCCAATACCGACCTGGGGGTGGGGGTGTGCGTGCAGGGGGGTGTGTGCGTGGGGGGGGGGTGCATGTGCACTTACTGCAGAACATGATGGACTTTCTAAACATGAAAAATCACCCCCACAAACTGCCTTCTTCATGTGACTATCACTTTTTACACAACAGACTATTTTTTTAAAGTGTTATTTTCTTAACGATTATTTATTTTAAGAGAGAGAGAGTGAGCTAGCGAGCGGGGAGGGGCAGAGAGAGAGAGACACACAGAATCTGGAGCAGGCTCCAGGCTCAGAGGTGTCAGCACAGAGCCCAACACGGGGCTCAAACCCATGAACCACAAGATCACGACCTGAGCTGAAGTTGGACGCTCAACCGGCTGAGCCACCCAGATGCCCAAAACATACATTATTTTTAGAGCAGTTTTAGGTTTATAGCAACACTGAGAAGTTACGGAGATTTCCCATATACCCCACATATACCCACCCCCACGTCCTCCCCCCATTCCCGACCCCCCACCAGTGTGGTACATTTGTCACCATCAATGGGCCTGCTCGGACACGTCATCACCCCGAAGCCCAGAGTTTGCATCAGGGCTCCCCCTTGGCGTCGCGCATCTTATGGGTTTACACAGACATATGATGACACGTGTCCACATGACAGTATCGCACAGGGCGGTTTCACTGCTCTAGGATTTCACGTCTTCCAAGTGTCTCATCTGCATCTGTCCTGAAACCCATTTCCTCTCTCTCCCGAAAACCAGCTCCCCTCCCCCAGCAGAGGGTCTGTCATCTCCCCCCTCACCTGGGCTTGAAACCTGGGGGTGAAGTGCAGTCCCACCCAGCCCTGAGACGTTGTCCAGGACCGTGTAACTGGTATCACTTATCTGACCACATGATTGAAAGCTAACCAGTGTAGGGGCGCCTGGGCGGCTTAGTCGGTTGAGCGTCCGACTTTTGCTCAGGTCATGATCTCGCGGTTCGTGGGTTCGAGCCCCGCATTGGGCTCTGTGCTGCCAGCTCAGAGCCTGGAGCCTGTTTCAGTCTGTGACTCCCTCTCTCTCTGACCGTCCCCTGCTCACGTTGTCTCTCTCTCCTAGAAATAAATAAAAATATATATATATAAAAAAAAGAAAGCTAACCAGTGTAGCTGTATTCGTGTGCAAAAATTTTACACAGAAACTATTTTTTTAAAAAACTACTGAACTGTATACTTAAACATGGTTAAAAGGGAAGCATTTATATTATGTGCTTTTTTAGAATTAAAAATACAATTAGGGGGCGCCTGGGTGGCTCAGACGGTTAAGCGTCTGACTTCGGCTCAGGTCATGATCTAACAGCTCGTGGGGTCGAGCCCCACGTCAGGCTCTGTGCTGACAGCTCGAAGCTTGGAGCCTGCTTCTGATTCTGTGTCTCCCTCTCTCTCTCTCCCCTCTCCCACTTGCACTATGTCTTGCTCTCTCTTAAAAATAAATATTAAAAAAGAATTTAATTTAAATAAATGAATAAATAAATAAAAATAAAATTAGAGGGCACCTGGGTGGCTCAGTCAGTTAAGCATCCAACTCTTGGTTTTGGCTCAGGTTATTATTTCCCGGTTCGTGACATCGAGCCCCGCATCAGGCTCTGCACTGAAAGCATGGAACCTGCCTGGGAGTCTCTCTCTGCCCCTCCCATGCCCACGCTCTAAGTAGACAAACTCTAAAAAAATAAATTAATAATTAAATTAGAAAACAAAGTTCTGACACATGCTATGATGTGGATAAACCTTGAAAACATATTCAATGAAAGAAGCCAGACACAGTTTACATACTGATTGCAGTAAGTGACTCCACTTCTTAGAGGTACCTCACTATCAGGTTCAAAGAAGTAGGAAACAGAATAGGGATGCAGGGGCTGGGGGGAAGGTAAAAAGGGGCACTACTGTGTGACGGGTATAGTGCTTCTGTTCGGGGTGAGGCGTGGTGATCCGGAGCTAGATAGTGGTGATGGTCACACACCACTGGAAATGTATTTATTACCGCTGAATTATACACTTAAAATAGTTAAAATAATAAGTTTTGTTATGCGTATTTTACAATTTAAAAAAAAGAAGAGAGGGGAAGCTGGGTGGCTCAGTCGGTTGGGTGTCTGACTTCGGCTCAGGTCGTGATCTCACAGTTCGTGGGTTCGAGCCCCGCGTCAGGCTCTGTGCTGACAGCTCAGAGCCTGGAGTCTGTTTCAGATTCTGTGTCTCCCTCTCTCTCTGACCCTCCCCTCTTCTCTCTCTCTCTCTCTCAGAAATAAATAAAACATTAAAAAAATTTTTTAATAAAAAAATAAATGTTAAGGGGTGCCTGGGTGGCTCTGTCAGTTTGGCATCTGACTTCAGCTCAGGTCATAATATCACAGTTTGTGGGTTCGAGCCCTGTGTCAGGCTCTGTGCTGACAGCTCAGAGCCTGGAGCCTGTCTTCAAATTCGGTGTCTCCCTCTCTCTCTGACCCTCCCCTGCTCACACTGTCTCTCTCTGACTCTCAAAAATAAATAACATTAAAAATTCAAAATAAATAAAAATAAACGTTAAAATAAAAAAAAAAAACAAAGTCATACACAAAAGAGTACTTCCTGAATAATTCTATGGGAACAAAGCACAAAAACAGATAAAACTAATCCGTGGTGTTAGGACTCAGAAAGTCCTCTAGAAAAGTCATCAGAAGGGGTAACAGGGCAGGTTCTTGATCCTGTGGGCACTAGACACACAGGTTCCGCTAGTGAAAACTCACTGCTCTGAAGATCTGTTTTCACACCTTTGACACCAAAATGTATGTAACTGACTGCTTCCTGAGTGGCTGTAAAGTTTCTATTTTCCCCAAAAGTCTCTGAAAGAAGCCAGCTTTTCTCTTCTTGACAACGTGGGACATGATCGATTGTTTTTGAACGCTTAAAACAAAGCACGTGAACGAAATCCGTGCCAGCCCACCATTTGCTTTGTGACAACTGGTCTTGCAGAAAAAAACAACAAAAACCAGGTGCTCGTATTTCTGATGGACGTGAGGGGACCGTGACTCCAGGTGACATTTCAGGCTGGGGAAGAATTCAGAGGCAAACTCACGGCCACCCCGTGAAAGACCACATCCTGTGGTCTGCGTGGAAACATCACAGAAAGTTTTGAGCAACTCTTGTGAGCAAGCTTTGTGGGCAGCTCAGAACGGCTTCTGGAGCAGGAGGTAAGACCTCCGTGAAACCAAGAGGCCGCTGAGGCAGGGTGGGAGGGTCTGTCCAGGAAACACGACACAACCATCGGAAAGGAGACCGGAAAGAAAAGAGAGGCCCTCCCCCTGGTGAGAACACAAGGGAGCTTTGGGGAACCTGGTGATAAAGAGAACCCTAGGAGGCCACCAAGGCCAGCTCCCAACTCTGCCTGGACGGACCCCAGGATGAACACCACCGCTCTGCCTCACCGTGCGCCTTTACCCCGAGCCGCGGACCCCATCCAGGCCTTGACTTGGCTTGGTTCACTCAGGTTCCCCAGCTTTGACTCTTATTCCCACCAAGGACATAGCTCGCCCCCCACCCTCCCTCCACCCCCATCCCCAGGCTCTACGTGCTCCAAGGAATACTGTCCCTCTCTTTTTAACCCCTTGCTCTTCCCCCACTGGGCACCTACAACCAAAATGGCGCCACATTCCAACGTCACCCTTGAGTTGGGTCCTGACTTGCTTAATTTGAGATTCATCAGAAATCTCCTCTCCGTTTATTAATTGGACAGCGGGGGGAGGGCGGGGGGGGGGGGCTGTAGCTTCCCCTGGGCCCTCCCAGGTGCCCAAAGACACTCACCCATAAGGCCATCTGGCATGGGCCAAGCACGTCCGAGATGACCAATCCTTGGAGGCCAAGGCCACTCCCCTCCACCAGGGCCCCCTGCTGGCCAGTACTGGTGTTGGTGACAAAGTGACAGGTGTATCTGGTGCCCACAGGAAGGTGGGGCTCTGCTGACCCTGGAGAGCAGAGTAGAGGGTCACTTTGACAACCTCCACCCTCTGCGACTCAACCCCACCTACCAAATACCCCCAAGGGGTACAGTCCTGGTTCAGAACCACAGATCTACATTTACATTAACTCATTTAATGAGTTAATTAAATTAAGCTTAATTTAATTAACTCTGAGTGGCTACTCTTACTCCATGTTACAGAAGTGGGAACTGAGGCTCAGAGAGGTTAGCCAACTTACCCAGGGTCACACAGCTGGGATGCTAACCTTGGAACTCTGAGTTCTCACCTATGGCCTTGAGAACATAATGTTTGTCATGTGCGCTGGGAGAGGGTTGTCCTGGTCCTTGACGGGACCAGAGCCGTTAAGCTGGCCAGCCTCAGGGGCGCTAAGGTGGCAGGAAGGGCTGATTTAGGGAGCAGGCAGCTGGCTCTGCAGTTCCCTAACCTTCTATTGAGGCCAAGGGCCCAACTGTGACACCCCACCCTTCAATGACATCCCACCCTTCTCTGCGCTTCCAAGTGAATTAACATTTTTTTCAGGTGCTCAAACATCGCCACACCTCACACTCCCAGAGTGTTTTTCTCCCTCCAAAGAATTTGCCTTAAGGCTCCCCTGTCTACTCCACCCCAAAATGCAAACAGAATCCCCAGCACAGATGTTTACTCCACCTGGGGACCCAAGGCGGAAGGCTCTGGAAGGCCAGAGCCCGGGGCAGTTTACCCACCCTCCCGCCCCCCTTCCGACCCCGTGTGCTGTTTGCTTTCCTAACTGCTGATGACCAGAGGGCCTTTCCGGAACTGGCCTCGGCCCTCTCTGCTAACGGGGACATGTGCCCGGAGGAGGCTGTCCCACTCACAGGTGGCAGCTGGCCTGCTCCGCTCCCACAGCCAGCCCCGCCCCATCCTGTCTCCCGAGAGACGTGCTCACCTGCACACGCCACCACGCAGGAGGCCCCCTGGCTCAGGGGCGGATCCGGATCTGGATCTGGAGTGTCTGAAATCACAGGTCAGACGGAGCGAGGGCGGGGCCAGAGGGAGGCACGGGACGGCCCCACCTGCGGGCCACTGACCTTCTTGTGGGAGGGGATGCTGGAGGGCCCGAGGGGACCAGAAGAGATGATGCCGGTACTCCTCTCTCTCACAGGGCTGGGAATGGCCTCCCCACCCCCTACCAGCCCGCTCTGCCCCATCTGGGAGGCCGGCACCGCTGTCCTGACTGCTCAAGCTAGCAGGCCGGGGGTCATGTGTGTTCTTCCTTTCCTTGTGGGCCACCCCCACGCCCGGCCGAGTCCCTCAAATGCAGGTCACCCTCCCTCCCTCCAGCTCCATCCCTTCCTCTCCTCTCCCCCCCCCCATCTCTCTAACCCTGCTTTCTTCTTCCCTCCCTCCCTCCACGTGTCTCCATCTCTCTGGCCATCACTGCAGGCAAAGTCACACCTTCTCTTGCCTACAGGACGGCAGTAGGCATTTGTGTCCACAATTCCTCATCTGCAGCTAGAGATCTTAAAAACCTAAATCTGGTGGCGCCGGAGTGGCCCAGTCAGTTGAGTGTCCGACTTCAGCTGAGGTCATGGTTGGAGCCCTGCATTGGGCTCCGTGCTGACAGCTCAGAGCCCGGAGTCTGCTTCAGATTCTGTGTCTCCCTTTCTCTTGGACCCTCCCCTGCTCTCTCTCTCTCTCTCTCTCTCTCACACACACACACACACACACACACACACGTAAGGACAGCCTTGCCACAAGAGCTGGCCTCTATCTGCCCTCCGGCCGCGTCTCCCCTGGCCCTCACCCTCCAGACACACTGGCTCTTCCTCTCAGCTCAAGGCCTTCGCACATGCTGTTCCCTCCTGCCTGGACACCTTTCTTCCTGCTCTCCACAGCCCAGGCCCCTTCAGGTCGCGCCCCGGCGGCGCCCTCCCTGACCACTACAAACCAACAAAGCCAGAGTGGGGGGGGGGGGGGCTGCAGCAACGGGTGGTGAGATCTGACGCCACCTCATCCACCCTCACCGCCGCCGCCTCCTTCCCGGCTGCAGAAGGCACCCCCGGAATGAAGAGCATGGGCTCTGACCTCCCAGCCGCTGCCCCGGCCACGGAGGTCCCTCTGCAGGGAGTCCTGGCCCGGAAGGGGTCGGCTTCTCTCCCTCCACTCGCCCCAGCCTGAGTCCTGCCCTCCTTCACCTTCTGTCAGCTCTGTTTGCCCTTCCTTCCAGCCGCGCGCCTGGACCTCCCTCAGGCACCATCCACCCTGTGCTTCTGGAACAGCCTCAGCCAGGAATCGATCCACAGCCACGGGCAGACAACGGCTTTTCTAGAATACCGTTTCCATCCTCGAAAGCACCCCACCGTGCCTCGACTGCTAACCATCACCCACAGGAGCCTGCTTAACCCCTTGAGAGAGGAAACATTTCCCCAAGATGGGGGAAGTGCGTTTTACGCCATTTTGTCCAGACCCTTTGAAATAATAGAAGGTTATAGGCTATCCCCACCTCCCAAAGCTTTTGTGTCCTCTAACCAATCGCTCTTTGCATTCAAGTAGAATATCAACGGATAAACCCACATTTCAAAGACATTTAACCCATTGTATTTCCCTTCCAATTCTCCTCCGACTCTCTGACACCATGTACTCTGGGCACCAAATTAAAGCTGTTTACGCATAATTATTCAACTCCCAGCTGTGCAGGGACCCGGCATTCAGCTTGCCTGCTCCTCCAGCAACGTCTACCTCTGCTTTCGCCACCAGCCCGCAAGCCCCCGTCCACCATGAGCTCCAGAAACAAGTGTGTTCAAAGAGCACTGTGCTCGAACTAAGTCTCGTTCCGTTCCTTTCACATGCACTTAAAAAAATGGCATGTATACAATGCATTACTACCCGGCCATGAGAAAGAATGAAATCCGGCCATTTATAGCAACGTGGGTGGAACTGGACAGTGTTAAGTGAAATAAGTCAGACAAAGAAAAACACATATCGTACGTTTTCACACCTGTGTGGATCTTGAGAAACTTCACAGAAGGCCATGGGGGAAGGGAAGGGGGAAAATAGCTACAGACAGAGAGGGAGGGAGGCAAACCATACGAGACTCTTACATACAGAGAACTGAGGGTGGATGGGGTGGTGGGGAAGACGGGAAAATGGGTGATGGGCACTGAGGAGGGCACTTGCTGGGATGAGCACTGGGTGTTGTATGTAAGCGATGAACCACAGGAATCTACCCAAAAAACCAAGAGTACACGGTACCCACTGTAGGTTAGCCAATTTCACAATGAATTATATTAATTTTTTAAATAAATACTCTAAATTTGTTTAAAAATTTAAACTAAAAGAGAAAAGTTCCAAAACAATTCAATAACCCTACTACGTAGATCAGCCAAAGAGAGGAAACACTGAGCATTGGAAGGTGATACATCTTTCTATCGGATCCTATTCATTTCTAGGGAGAGATCTGAGAAGGGCTGAGAGTGATGTGATCTCTACAGCCTGGAAATGAAACCAGGGCTCATTTCAGCCTTCTCAGACGTCAGTGAAGGTCCCTATTCATTCATTTATCCAGCCCAGATTTACTGAGTACCGATTGTGCAACCGGCAATTAGGTGCTGACAATAGAGCAAAAACAAAACAAAACAAACAAACAAACAAAAACCCAACAGCCCAGCTGGAATCGAACCTGTGCTGTCCCGCAAAGTAGCCACCAGCCACGTGTGGCTTTTGGGCATCTGAAATGTGGCTGGTGTTATGGAAGAACTTTCCATTTTGTGTTTAAATTAAAAACTGATAACTAAAGTCAGCTCCCGAAAACTCAAGAATGCTTAAAACAACTTAGTACACAACCCCCCCTTTTCCACGTTAAATCTTGGGGAATCTAAATACGGATCATGCACTTGCCATGAAAATTTAGCCTAAGAATGAAATATGGGAGCGCCTGGCCAGTCCATCAATGGAGCATGTGACTCCTGATCTCAGGGTCGTAAGTTCGAGCCCCACGCTGAGTGCAGACGTTACTTAAAAAATGAAATCTCAGAAAGGAAATACGCTTAACAAGTTTTTGAAATGTGCTTCCAGTATAAAATAAACACCGGATTTCAGAGAACTGAATATATGCCTCATTAATACTTTTTTACACTGATTACATTTTCTAATGGGATTCTGGATATATCGGGTGAAGTAAAATATACTCTCCAAATTCATTTCACCTGTTCCTTTTTAGCCTTTCTTTAAACATGGCTGCTGGAAACTTTCAAATTACACATTGGCTCACGTTACGTTTTACTGAATAGGGCTGCCCTAGACCCGTCCGCAGTCAAAAGACAACGGATAAAAGCGCATTTCACCACGTTAGGCTGCATAGAGAGATCTGCTCAGTGTCTTCAAGCCCATCACCCCCTCGCAGCCCTGCACACAGCCGAGCATCCCTGCACAGAAGTGCGGGAGCTCAGAAGTCAGCATTTGTTCGCTCAGCCTTACAGATCTGGTCTCCGTTTTCAGACGACGTTGGTGGAAGACAGGAGCAAGAGATAAGGGTCCCCCTGGAACCTCTCTTTCCTCTTCCCCATGAAAGGCAAAACCGAGAGAGGCAGGGAGGAGGTCAACAGGCATCTGGCGACAAAACCAGGGTCTCAGGCAGAGGAGCTGCCGTCCCAGCTTCACCCCACGCAGAGCCAGAACCGCAGCAGCTTTCCTTACTCCCGGACGTCACGGCCCCCAGGGCCCAGAGTAGAACCAGACCCAGGAGCCCCGTGGCCCCGAGAGCCCCGCACCGTCAGCCTCTCTCTGATGGCACAGAGCACCCAGTAAGGGACTCTCTCATTCCCAAAGGGGCGGGCACAGCCCTGATCCACTCTCCCCACCCAGAGCCGGTGGAGAGGGGAGGAGGGGGCTTTGAGGGCAAAGACCCAGCCAAGCAGAAGCCTCTGATAAAGTTCTTAGCACTCTACCCAGGAGGAGGGGGCTCCTGACCACTGAGGGGGAAAATCCCTTTTCAGTGGAGGGGAAAGAAAAGTTTGCCTCTTCAAGCCTTGTAAATGGAGCCTCTAGGCAGAAGGAAAACAGGGCCGTGGTTTGGGTGGGTGGGTGGGTGGGTGTGTGTGTGTGTGTGTGTGGTCTAATATCAAATTAACCACTTGAACCGCCTTAAACGGGAGTTGGATGGCACTGAGTGCATTCACGATACTGCAAAACCATCATCGCGGGTATGGCCGGCTTGACGAGCAATGGCTCTCGTCAAACAGAGGACAGCTGCAGGCTTTGCCGGTGCTCTGGCCCAAGGCCACCCTCCTCAACACAGGACGACCAGCTGATGAGAAGGAGCCGGAAGTCTTTTTTTCCCCAGACCACACCTCCTCTTCTTCACCTCAAAGTCGCCTCCTCCTGCACTTTGGTTTTGAGGCTGCGAGCAGCCCATCTCCGGGGCCACCCCCCCCCACCACCCCTGTGGGCCTGGCCTCTCATTGGGTGCACTTGTTTCTGCAATAAAGACACTTTTTATAAACCGCGTTACGGCAGGAGAAGAGCGATCACCCAACTCTCCCATTGCTAGCGCACAGTTCAGCGGTCTTCAGTCCGTTCAGCTTGGTACAACTGTCATCAAACCGATTTTAGAAGCTTTTCCTCACTCCCAAAGGAAACCCCAGCACCAGTAAGCACTCCCTCCTCCTTCCCCGACACCCTAGTCCCTGGTCACCACCGATCTGCTTTCTGTCTCTGTCACTCTGCCGACTGTGGACATTTCCTATGAACGGAATCATTCAATGCAACACCTTTAGTGACCGGTCCCCTTCACTGAGCATAAGATTTTCAAGTTCATCCACGTTGTAGCAGGTGTCAGTGAGAGAGACGGACAGACAGACAGACAGAGAATTCCAAGCAAGCTCCTCACTGTCAGCATAGAGCCGAACGGGGGCTTGAACCCACGAACTGCGAGATCATGACCTGAGCCAAAGTCGGACGCTGAAACAACTGAGCCACCAAGGCGCCCCAGGGCTAAACTTTTAAAGGCCCCCTTAAAGCTCCCTGGAGGCCCACGACACTCTGGATGGTGCCAAATGCTGTAAAGGAAAGGAGAAAACTACCTCCCACGAGGCTGGTCTGTAGGAGCTAAAATAGCAGTGCGGAAATGAGACGCACACGCAGAAGACGTGAGGCGTACCCAGGAGAGCCCCGGTTCCAAGAAAGGAAGGGTTTTTATGCCAGGAGATTGCTGGGAGTTCATGAAGGAGAGATTTCCTTGCAACTTCAAAAAAATAAAATAAAATAAAAACCCAGACAATAATGTTATTAGAAAACTAGATACTTGCAACCAATAGTAAACTAAGTCCTGGGGACTTAATACACGGTACAGTGATTTCAGGCCAGAAAACTGGATTGGAAGTATTCAAGTGTCTAAGGAATTAGATCTTCCTTGTCCCCAGTGCTAGAAGAAATGATAGTTACGAGACACTATGGAGGTGTTAGCTGATGCCACAATGGCAACTATGTAACATTAACGTATCGAGGCAGCATGTGGTACCCCTTCCACTGACACAGCGCTGCGTGTCAAGTATATCACAATTAAAAAAGAAAATTGCAGGGGCGCCTGGGTGGCTCAGTCGGTTAAGCGTCCAACTTCAGCTCAGATCATAATCTCATGGTTTCGTGGGTTCGAGGCCCACGTCAAGGCTCTGTGCTGACAGCTCAGAGCCTGGAGCCTGCTTTGGATTCTGTGTCTCCCCCTCTCTCTGCCTCTCCCCTGCTTGCACTGTGTGTGTGTGTGTGTGTGTGTGTGTGTGTGTGTGTGTGTCTTTCTCTTTCAAAAAATAAACATTGAAAAAATTAACAAACTGTATCAGGCAATGGGCAAGGCACTCACTGAATATTAACTCATTCAAAAGTCCCCCCAAACCCCACCACTAAAAATGATCAGCAAGGTGGAAATGGTTTCATCTCACTGTTACAGAAAAGGAAGTGGGAAACAGAGAGGCTAAGTCTTGCCCAAAGTCACAAAGCTGGACCCCATCTGACTCCAGAGTTTCCTCTTTCTCAACTCTGCAGCTTAGCTCTGTGTTTGTCACTTCCTCCATCTCCCTGTCCAGGACTCCTGTCTCTGCCCAGCGTCCTAGAATCCCACGCTGCCGACGGTAAGGACTCAGACAACCACGCCATGTCTCATGTGGTGATTCCCAGTCAACAGAGCGGCATCCCATTCCAGGCCTGGAAAACTACAAGGACCAGGAAGGCAGGGGGGAAGGGGGAGTGGGGGTGTGAGGACCTCCCTCCAGACCAACCTGATGACCGGCCGGGTGTGCCATCACCCAGTTCTACCAGAGCCGGCCGGGGTAGGCTCCTGCCTCTCTGGCCTCACTTCTGCACATTTCTCTCATTACTGGACAAAACGCCGGTATACTGGCTGGCTGGAGCTCCAGGACTCAAGGACTTGACTCACAGGAAGACCCTCCTGGACAAGCCTTCCCACCCCTCACCCTCCCACAAAAACTAAGTTCAGCTTCCTCCTCTTAAAAAAAAAAAAAAAAAGAAAAAAGGCAGGGCTGGGCTTATCAGTAACTGAGGATTGAGCTTCCAGTTCTGAATTAAGGCAGAGGATGAATCAAGGCCCATCACACCCAAGCCAGAGTCACAAAAATTAACAAGACTTTGCTTTAAACCATCCAAAGACGGCATTATTTTGCGCAGGTAGAGGGCAAAGGACAGCCCATTGGAGAGAACCAACCAGTAGGGGGCGAAGTGAGCTCTTACCTGGGTGGAGGATTTCAGGTAAGATTTTGTCCTTGATGAACCACTACCACCGTACTTTTAAGACTTTATTATTTTTTTAAAAATTTTTAATGTTTATTTTTGAGAGAGAGACAGAGACAGGCAGGCAGAGATAGAGATAGAGGCTCCAGGCTCTGAGCTGTCCGCACCGAGGCCGACACGGGCCTCAAACTTGTGAACCATGAGATCATGACCTGAGCTGAAGTCAGACGCTTAACCAACTGACCCACCCGGGCACCCCAAGACTTCGTTTTTTAGAGCAGTTTCAGGTTCATAGTACAATCGAGAGGAAGGCCGAGGGATTCCCCATATACCCCCTGCACTCGCACACGTACAGCCTCTCCCATAATCACAACCCCGCACCACTGTGGTACATTCAATGCAACTGAAGAACTTTTATTGACCCATCATTACCACCCCAAGTTCATAGTTTACCTTAGGGTTCACTCTTGGTGTCGAACACTCTATGGATTTAGACATCTATATAATGACCCTTATCTACTATTATAATATCAGACGGAGTATTTTCATTGCCATAGAAATCCTATGCAACTCGCCTATTCATCCTTCCCTCCCCTGGTCCCTGGAAATCACTGATATTTTGTACTGTCTCCATAGCTTTGCCTTCTCCAGAATGTCGTATAGTTGGAATCACACAGGACATAGCCAGGACATTGGCTTCTTTCACTTAGGAATATTCTTTTAAGGTTCCTCCTATCCTTCCATGGCTTGATAAGGCATTTTTATTTAGAACTGAATAATAATATAACAGTAATAGTAATAATATTGCACTGTCTGGATGTGCATTTATTTATCCATCTGCCTACTGAGGTGTCCCTACACCTTTGTCGCTTCCGTGTTGAGACAATTACGGATAACGGTGCTATAAACATCCGTGGGCATAGTTTTTTTTGTTTTTTTAAGACGGCTCTGTATGATCAATGTGGACTTGAACTCACAACCCCATGATCAAGAGTCACATGCTCTACTGAGTGAGCCAAGCAGGTGTCTCTGTATGAATGTCAACTCTTAATTTATTTGAGTAAGTGCCAAAAAGCGTGATTGCCAGATCTCATGGTAAGTGTAGGTTTCATTTCCTGAGAACCCACCAAACTGTCTTTCAGAGTGGTTGTGCCATTTTGCACTCCCACTAGCAATGCAGAAGAGCGCCTGTTGCCTCACATCCTTACCAGCATTTGATGTTGTCAGCGTTTCAGATTAGAGCCATTCAAATAAGTATGTAGTGGGATCCGTTAATTTGCATTTCCCTGATGACATAGGATATAGAGCCTCTTTTCATGCACTTACTTGCCATCCATAGATCTTTGGTGACGTGCCTGTTAGGGTCTTTTGCCCATAGTTTAATCAGGATGTTTTCTTGTTGAGTTTTAAAGGTTCTTTGCATATTTTGGGTAACAGTCCTTTATCAGATGGGTCATTTCCAAACTTCCTCCCAGTCTGTGGCTTTTATTCTGTTGGAAGTGCCTTTCACAGCAGACATTTTCAACTTCAATGAAGCCTAGCCTACCGATTTCTTTTCTCATGGATTCCTGCATTTGGTGACCCTTCTAAAAAGTCATCAGCAAACCCCAAAGAATGTAGTTGGGTTTTACATTGAGGTCTGTGGTCCAGTTTGAGTTAATTTTTGTGAATGGTGTTAAGACCTCGGTCTATGTTCTTTTGCGGCACGTGGTGTCCAGTTATTCCAGAACCATTTGTTGAGAAGACTGTCTGGCCCCGCCATATTGCCTTTGCTCCTTTGCCAAAAACCAGTTGACTCTGTGGGTTTATTTCTGAGCTTTCTACTCTGTTCCACTGATCTCGTTGTCTGATCTTTCACCAACACCACACTTTTAAACACTGTATCTTTACAGTGAGTCTTAAAGTGACATAGTGTCGGTCTTCCAACTTTGTTCTCCTCCTCAATGTTATAGATGTTATATCTGCTATTCTGCGTCTTGTGCCTCGCCATGTAAATTTTAGAAGCAGTTTGTTGATATC